AACAAGGTAAATACCCAACGCGGCGCACAGTTCTCAATAGGGGCCTCTCCTCAGCTAACGTTTCCCGATTCGCCCCCACCAAAAAAAAAGTAGAACCTCTAACGAGAACCGCGCCCTCATCGTTTGCCGAGTCTGGAACCCCTACCGTCGAGGCGGTCGTCGACAAGCAACGGCAGGAGCTGGAAACCAAGACGAAAGACCTGAACACGGCTTCCGAGACTAGAGTGGCCGAGTCCGCGACCCTGGAATCGCAGCCTAGTACAGAGGCGCAAACCGATGCGGCTACTGCTTCGTCGGAGGAAGACCTGGAGGAGGATGCCCCTCGCGAAGCTGCGTTCAACCCCGAGACTGGTGAAATCAACTGGGATTGTCCCTGCCTTGGCGGAATGGCTCACGGGCCCTGCGGAGAGGAGTTCAAGGCGGCGTTTAGCTGCTTCGTCTACTCTACCGATGAGCCCAAGGGCATGGACTGTATTGACAAGTTCCAGTATGGCATGCCCAATTCTTCTCCGAAGAACCCACCAAAGAAGGATGAAACAAAAGACGCGATTTTTTAAGGCTGACACACATCACAGAGGCATGCAGGAGTGTTTCCGCAAATACCCAGACCATTACGGCGCCGAATTGATCGACGACGATGACGAGGTCGCCGAAGGCCAGGCACTTGAGAGCGACGCACCTTCCGCAGTACAAGGCCAGGCACTTGAGGGCGATGCACCTTCCGCAGTACAAGGCCAGGCACTTGAGGGCGATGCACCTTCCGCAGTACAAGGCCAGGCTTTTGAAGAGCACCAAGCTGAAGCGCCTGAGCAGCACAAAGCTTCCGCGGAGAGATCAGGACCCAAAGTTGTGGAACAGTCAGTGGCTGATGACGGTGCATCGAAGCCGTCAGAAATTGCTGTCGGCGCGGGTAACAAGGATGCGTAGAAGGACATTACGGTGATGAGGCACGAATAGACTCTCGATGGTATTGCCTTCCCCGTCACCACCAAGATATGAAGAAAAGGAAGACCAGAAAAGGAGGACCAGAAAAGGAGGACCAGAAAAGGAGGACCAGAAAAGGAGGACCAGAAAAGGGAGCAAAAAGCTTAGAGCAAGGCGATATGGCATTGTATGGATAGCGAGGACTGTATCTCCGTCCATTGTATATTTTGGCATGATGTCATGTTTTGTATTTCATTGTACGAGTAAGTAGAAGTGTACCAAAGAGGACCTTGGTCCATAGACGGCGAAATCATAGTAACAAGTATTAAAATATATGTATGACGAGTCCTACGCCCCAACGCGCTCATTGTCTGCACATGTATATATGTAGCACGAGCATTTCTCGAACAAGGTTTCACCCAAGAACCGACGGCTGTGCTGCCCGAAAATCCAGATACAAATACAGACAACATCCTCCATGGCCCGGCGCTGAACGAGAGGTACACGAGATTTTGGCCCAGTCGAGCAATTGAGCAATCGAGCGTCAAGAGAAGAGTTCAAGCAACAAAGAAGAGCCGATCAACAAAACAAGACTCAAAAAAAAAAGGATTCCACCCAATTCCATTGCGATACATATCAAGAACCAACGCCCCAACTCAGACAAGTCATTCGCGATCTTTCATCCCCTTTCCCTCTTTCCTCCTCCTCCTTCTTCTTCTTCTCCCCTTCTCGCGCCACGTGCGTTCCAACTTCTAAAACACGTACACTCAACCCCCTAACAGCTCCCCTTCTTCCCCTTATACAAATATCGCCCCAAAACCGCCTCCGCGGCCCCAACCCCTGCCAAAATCCCCACGCCAACCCCCGCAGTCTTCCAGCTCAAATTACCCCGCTCATAGAGACCCCATGCCTTGTAGCCCAGGTACGAGCTCACGCCGATAATAGCAGCCAAGTTCGTCACAGCCAGAGCACTGGCACTACCGTCCGAAAGGCCAGAGAATTGCTGCACGAGCCACGAGTCCGTCTCGCGGGCCTTCTTCTCGGTCTGCTTCTTGGCGTTCTGGACCTTGGCCTTGGCCTTGGTTTTGGCGGCTTCGGCTTCGGCTTCGGCGTCGGCTTCGGCGTTGGCTTCGGCGTTGGCTTCGGCTTCAATGTCCAGGCGGTTGGCTTGGGTTTCGGTCTGGATGGGCTGCTCGGAGAAGTCGGAGGGCACGGTGTGGACGCTTGGAATGTCGATGTCTGTGAGGGAGGCTGTGGCTACGGATTCGGTGTTGAGGAGTTCGACGGGCTGGGGAGCAGCGGCCTGGGGGGTTGGGGGTTTGGTGTCAGTGTCTGGTTGTCACGAGAGATTTCGTCGCAGGGCCGGGTTCCCAGTTTTCTAATCAAAGAGACGTGTTGATCCGGTACTGTGCTTACCTCCTCGGGGGTCTGCTTGGGGCCACTGGCGGCTACGTCGGCGTATGACACTACATCGCGCGGAAGGGTCAGTGTCCAGGTGCTCCTGTGTATGTGTGTGTGTGTGTGGTGGCCTTGACAGGCTAGCAGGTTGAAGACCGGGACGACTTACTGATTCAAAGGAGGAGGATGTTTGTGTGAGGAAAGATCTGATGATTTTTGATTCGATTTGTCTTTCGTCTGAGGAGAGCTTCGGCCTGATTGTTGCTGTGACGTGAGAAGTAGGTGTGGGTTGAAAAGGGAAACAGCGGTGGGTGCCAGCCTCCAGGTGATGGGTTTTTGGCCCAGTTCATGTTGATTGTCGCTTGGTACAGAGAAGCTAGTCGATGGATGACGTGACTGGGCGGGTTTGGCTGGGGTACTTATGGGTCACCGGGTTGCCATTGGCCAAATCATAAATGCCTGTCGCGAAATCTCCGAGCTGGCATGTCCTGGAACGTGCATGTGAAACGCGTGGAAGTGTGAAAAGACACGCAGATGGCGCGCCACCATGGGCAAATTGCAATGATAGTTGCCGTATGAACAATGTGATTGGTAAAGTGTCGGGTCTCCTGACAGATGGGCCAATGGCAAATGCACCAGCAAGGTGTGTTTCTGTCTCCCTTCCAACTTCTTCGAGCGTTCATGTTTGTAGGAATCTCCTACCCTAGAAGATGGGATGCAAAATTGTCAACGGCCGACACGTGCCAAAGAACACAAGCAATTAATCGTCACAGCTTTCTTTACTTCCTCTCTTTTCACTTTTCACTCATTTAATTCCAAAGCTATTCAGTATATTGGAATTGAAAAAGTGTGCGCTGAATTAATACATGACACATGCCTAGCTCATGCAAGAGGCAGAGAAGAGGGATTATGTAGCTAGAAAGGTCAAAAAAACACGATCCTCCTTGGAAAACAGCAATCGTCAAACTCCCGTATTAACAACGCCAAAGGTGCGGGTATCACGAATTCTATATCACTCGTCTGTAATTGAGGGCATCGTACCCTCACGTGGGAGCTTGCCAATCCGTTGATCAATGCGTCGCCATTCTTTAAGAGGAAGAACCGATAAAGCACGACATGGGGAAAGCTCCATTGCTGTAGGTCTTCTAGTGGGACTGAAGTAGGGGCAAATCATGGCGAGTTTTGTTGGAATCCTTCGTCGAGCTCCTTTACCCAGTGCTCCCGAAGACGCCGGGGCATTTTGCAGAAAATCATCGCCTTGTTCTCGTGAATCAAGACATTCTCAGCAATCTTGATCTGCAGCTTCATGCTCTCATCCGCAAAGTCACTGAAGAACTGCTCCAGTGCCAACTCGCACCAGGTGGGCGCATGGATCATTGCCGTGTCGGAGAGTATGTTGCTCGAGGATGCGGAAATCCGGGCGACCGAGTCACCAGCAGTGGAGGTGCGTTGCCTCTTATCCGAAGATGGTGCAGCTCGACGTGCAAGTGCCGTCGTCGTCGGCATGAGGCGTAGTCCTGCGGTTCTGTTCAAGGTGGCCTGCCTCAGACCGGATGACGATCGCATGAGACGGGGGCTGTTCTGGCTAGTCGCATGCTCGGTTTGTAATTGCAAGACGTCAGGTTCTGGCATCTCCGAATCGTCCCTCGCCATCCCTTCGGTCCTCCTCCGCCTTCTCTTGACCCGTTTTGGGGCACCACCCGACCCAACCACATCGGGATACAGTATCTCCATGTATTCTTCGTGATCAAATGGACGACCCCGGAGGGCTCTCGAAAGAGGCTCTTTCTGTGTACCGGCGTCAGCATCCTCTAGCTTTATTTTCCAGACTCACTTCTTCTTCTTTTCCCTGTTTTTGGGGACCCATTCACTCTCTTGCGTGTCATGTTCTCAACCCCCCCCCTACAGGACACGTCCACGGCAACGCTGCTCTCACTCACCTCTATATGCGCTTTCCAGGCAGCTTCCGTTGCAGTCACCGTCTTGGTGGCAGAATTGTATACAAAGTCTGGGTCCTCGCGCAAACCACGCCAGAGCCGGAATCGTTTTCGCGCATTGTCGCTCTTGTTGATGAGGTGGCTTTTTGTAGGAAACGCGGAGTGACACTCCTCCAGAGCCTTCGCGGCGCGCTCCCAGGCCTCGGTCTTGAAGCTGCTGTTCTCGCGCAACCCGAGCTGGACACTGGCGCAGAGGCTGCGGAAAAAAGTCGTCTCGTATGCGGGAGTCCAGCTGAAGCGCGGAGCCCGGCGATCGCGATCGATACGAGCAGCCGATTGACTATCGAGGCCGAGTTCGGCGTCGTCTTCAGACATGGCCGCGAACAGGCACGGGACGGGCACGAGACGGAGACGAGACGGTGACGATGACTCAAGATCGCGTTTCTATGTTTCGGACCTCTCTACCAATGAATACCGGCAGCAGGATCGGCAGCCAGCGGCAACCACGGCGCCGCGTCAATGTGGCGTGCGACAGCCTGCGAACTTTGTGATGGATGGAGGCAATGAACAGCAACGCGATTTCAAACATTCGGAGCTTCAGGCCTGCAAAAATACAATGGAGCGCGGGATCCAATCAACATGAGCTTCTGAGTTTGAGTTTGCGTTGCTTGCTTCACTCTCAAGCAGAGACGACAAGGCTTTGTATTACGAAATAAGCCGCTCCAATGCAACAACCGATTTGGGCGGATGGTTTAGTGGTATAATACTCCCTTAGCATAGCGCCTGGGAGTGGTCCGGGGTTCGATTCCCCGTCTGTCCATTTATTTTTCTCAGTCACAGACACTGGCATGTTTTTGCCATTGACGTTGTTTTTGCCGTTTCTTTTACTTTTTCTCTTCGCCGGCTCTGTTACTGCATCAGTCTAGATGACTAGACTGTGTGCATATGTCCCGTGGAATTGTGCATTCATCATACTTTTCGTCACTGTAACTTGAAACGGAGGCGAAACTGTGCTACATTGATCCTGTAGAGGTGACTTCTTCTTGCCGCGTTCTCCTCGAGTCGTTGGTAAGACATGGACATTAGACGAGTCAGGCCTGCATCTGCATACTACCTAGCTAGGTAGTACATAGCGATAACGAGCAACTTGTAAGTTTGTATGTAGGTACATATGTACTTTGCCGGAACTGGAGCCGCAAGCCGGCGCAGGTCGGTGTTACTGCCCAGGCGACGTGCCCCATCGAGATCCGGGCTTTACGATCTAACCGATGTTATTTCCAAGCTGACGGTCCATGGGGGCGGGCGGGCAGACGCATCCATCGCCAGCTCATGAATTACGTGAGAGCTCGTTTCACATCTATATTATTGTTTAGGATGAGGGATATGTTTGGCCCCACAAAGGATGACATTTATCGATTTATGCCTTGCTCAATGCTCACATCATGACTATAATTTGTTGCCGATGGGCTGTTGGCAGTTGCTCCAGACTTGCATACAAGGTCTGATGCTTCTCGCCGAGAAGATGGAACACTTGGCTTGTTTGAGGCGAGGGGGGTGGTCCCAAGATCCGTGATCAATAATGAATGGCGTCTGGGATAAGGACTGTCTGGGAGGGTTTGGGCGTTGCTGTGGGCGTGCGAAGGCTTGCGGGAAGTTGGGAGGGCTGACTTTGATAAAACGATGCAAGCTGCCTTGGTTGGGCTCAAGATCACATGTAGGAAGCAGCCCCAAGACTCCAAGAGGTTGGGACTTGTCACGGTTTCAGCCTTTGCTGCATGTTGCCGAGGCTCTCGCACCAACCATGTGCATTCGCATCCAGCATCGCGCACCGCATGGGCGGCGAACTCTCTAAATGCTGTCGAGTCGACGCCAGGGAAGAAGATGAGAGATTTAGACTCCAGAAAACTCGAATACATACCTACATATCAGGAAACTAAATATCAAAATGACAAGACACGAAACGAAATCAATGACAGGCCGCGCCGAATGCGTTCTCGCGAGGTGGTTTCAGAGGCAAACTACATGGATATATTGTATCCAGTCGCATGGACACCTGCATATATCTCCTGTCTTATAGTACATACATGTATTTATGTATTTTCTTTCTTGCCTTGTTTCCGACGGCTTGGCAGATCCGCAGTCCCCTGGAGCGCGGGGAAATGGAATAAGGGAAACCTCCCGAGATCGGCAAAAAAAAAAAGTGAAAGAGCGAATCATGAACCGCGAGAAGACAGCAGTCACGTGCGTCATCTTGCTTCTATTGGATTCTAGTTCGCGTTTTTACCCGTCGCCTGCCGCCGCCCCGGCCGCCCACCCCCCCCCCCCCCTTCTCCGGAAGTTCCAGAGTCAGTCGAATAAGATCGAGACGAGTCAAGAGAGGATGAACAGGAACGAATGAATCCCATCTGTCGAAGGGAGTCTGTCGTCAGTGGTCACGAGTTATCACTGATGACAGGGCCGATTACTATTGCAAGAAGGAATATAAGATTTCCTTTTATGCAAGCCGCAGCGAATAGGTACGGGTTAGGTACGCGAAGGAATCTGCCATTTCCCCATTTCCCATTTCCCATTTCCATATCGTTGTGCCACGAACCCTAAGCTGTAAGCCGACAAACGCCTTTCGGTCGGGTGCTCCCTCAACCTCTTCGCCGGAGCGGGTCTCGGGTCTGGGGTCATGTTGTCTACCTAGCTAGCCTTTTTGTTGCAAAAGGTACACACACCATTATTCAGTTGATGGCCGTCTCGTCACATTGCATGAGCATCGTGACGCGCACGCGCGGTCAACAGATTTTTTTTTTGAAGGGTGCAGGGGGGCTCATATCTGGAGGATTCACGCGCCCGACTTCTTCGACATAGGTAACGGTAGGCGCTGGGCTGAACGCACATGACTCTGTTGGTCTTGTTACTCTTTTTTTTTTTGGTGGCCTTTTTTTACATTTCTCCTTCCTATTCTTGATCCAGGGGGGGACGCCACGCCCGTGATTGTAGATGTGATGTCTCACTTTTCGGTTGTATGGCTTGGAACTGGCTTGTGGCTGCCTTTGGCTTTTTGTTTCATGCTTGATGTCGGTGATCACTGATGGCTGATTGCCGAATTTGACATCACATTGATGGTGTTTCATCTACCTACCTACCTGCATCTTCATCAATTTCTCCCATCTTCACACATTCTTCGCTTCCATCTTGCCATCTTGGCGCTTGGCCGGCCAACTTTCTTGTTGGCTTCCCTATGTACATGGGTATTGCCCTTGCCGGCCGGGCAGGAAGAGAAAGTAACGAAACCCATCTGCGGGCTGCAGCCAAGACGGGCAATTCTGCCAGGGGGGTTTCTGCCGTTTGCTCTCGATCGTGGGATCTCTCAGAATGCAAGCTGCAGCCAGCCCGCCACCCTCTTCTTCTCTGTGCGGCTCCAATGCTCAGGAACCAGACAGGAAAGCCCCCCCTTTCCTTTTCCTTGCCAACTGGAGTTTGGGTTGGCATTAGGTACCTTGTTGAACCCGACGACGATGCTGGTAGAACAAGCGGCGGGCCGAAAAGCAGGGGGGGGTTTACGTACAGAAAAGGAGCACCTACCAATGCATGTACCACAGCTTGAATGCTACTGAGCAAGCGCATTTCTTGTCTAATCAAACCAACCCATTGGCGCTGGGCGTCTGTCCTGAATCTTGAATCCTGATGGAAAGCTTTTAGGCAATTCTACAAAAAATGAAAAAAAAAGGGGACCAAAATAAGAACGGACCGGGAAGCGCGCCCCCCCTTCTTCTTTCACCTGACTAATCCGTTCCTGCACTAGGCTGCTCCTGACGTCCGATTCCTCGGTTTCCTCTCTCTCCATCCTCTTTCCTTTCCCCAGACGATAAATCCGCCGAAGAGGACCTAAGGAAACTAGTCATCCTGGTGGTTCTTTTTTGCAATAATGCCAGCCACGTGTACCGTGTGCTTATAATTCGGCCCGTTGAGTCTCGACTCCTCGAGGACGGAGAACGGCATCGATCCGTCAGACCGTTTTCAGTATAATCATCCAGCGACGACTCGAGAGTCTTAGAGAATCTCTGCGTGTCATTCCTCCCCGTCCCGTCGAGCTTGGGTAGAGGACGGGTCATTCTGGAACAAGGATGCAGATACATATTGAAGACTATGAAGCCCGTGACGCGTTGGTGCCGGGGGGGGGGGGGGGGGGGGGGGGGTAGCGCCAAACCGGTCTCCTTCCCGCATCGATGCAATATTGATATGATGACAGTTTAAACCTTTCGCGCGACACATGGAAGCCTTTCCCCTTTCTGCTGTTGCGCCACCAATTACTGACTGTCCGTGCGATCGTCCCAGTCGGACATTAGCAGTGTGTATGTACATACTCCGTAGATTCTGAGGTTTCATACCTATTTCATATCTTTTTCATTCCGCATCGGCTATCCCCCCTGCACCAACCGTGAGTGACTCCGCGAAGCACCCTTCCCTCGCCGGACTTTTGTCTTCTTCCCTTGTACATATAGGATGCTCTCTTAATCAGGTGTCAGCGGCTCTGTTGGGCGTCTCCATGCCTTCCTTCTCGCCTTGGTGCTAGACTAGTGCTGTTCATGGCCTTTCTGTCCCATGGCAGTCCAGGCTGACTTTTCGTGGTCACTTGAGATGGATGTTGTATGCCCTCCTTACACAACTCAAGGCTGCCACCCCTCCCCCTTGTCTTCTTGTAAGTTGTGGTATCTTGGGCTCTTGGCTTTTTCAAGCCTAGTATCTGGTACTATGGGGACACTTGGCCGATTTCCCCAACATTTTCCATCTGATACAATGCCACTTGGGCGGATAGCTTGGTGCTACTGTCGTCCGTGAGTCTTGAGCTCCCGAGTATATAAAAAGTTGATCATGCCCCCATCACTAGACAGTTCATCAGCAGTTCTTTCTCATTCGCATCTTTTGTGGTTTCATTCCCTCAAGCTTATAGAAAGTTTGTGTGTGTGTGTGTGTATCACTCTCCTTCGAACTTGTGCTTCTCGCCAGCCCCTATTACACTCATTATCCGGCTTGACGTCGTCTCCACAGCCCAAGCAAAAAAAAAAAAAAAACCAACCCTTCATCACAATGGTCAACCACCATATCCTATCCAGTGTACTACTGGCCTTTGCGACCTCGGTCCAAGCCGGTGCCCCTGGCTATCCTGGCTTCAGCCTCCGCTGGCAAGACGACTTCTCCGGCGCACGAGGCACTTCCCCCAACACACGCAATTGGAACATCATCACCGGCAACCTCGGTGTAAACGGCGAGCTGGAGACTTACTCTGCCAGTACGCGCAACATCCAACTCAGCGGCGCCAACTCTCTTCAGATTGCGCCCCTGCGGGACGGCAGCACCCGTGGTGGATGGACATCCGGCCGCATCGAGAGCAAGTACGTCTTCACCCCCACGGTCGGCAAGATCACCCGCGTCGAAGCCGCTCTGCGATTCGGCTCCAACGACCAGGGCGCAAAGAAGGGCATGTGGCCGGCCTGGTGGATGCTGGGGAACTCTCTAAGGACCGGCGGCAGCTGGCCCTCGTGCGGAGAGATCGATCTCATGGAGCAAGTAAATGGCCAGGCGATTGGGCATGGCACCGTTCATTGCCAGAAAACCCCCGGCGGTATCTGCAACGAGCCCGGGGGTATCGGGAGCCCCGTTGGGGTGTCTAACAACGGCTATCACACCTGGCGTGTTGAGTTTGATCGCCGAAGCAACGACTGGAAACAGCAGAGCATTTCGTTTTATCTCGATGGGGGCAAGTTCCATCAGGTCACTGGTGCGCGTATCAATGACCTCGCTGCTTGGACGACGCTCTGTCAGAGCCCC